TTCCAAGACTTGGGATCGAATCCCGGGAACTAGAACCTCAAAAGAAACGATTTTCTTGTGTACTAGATCTGTCTTAGGGTTCTGTAAGTTCGAGTTCTTCCCTTAGGACGACGTCCAACACCTCCTTATAAGTTAGAAACCCTAATCCTTGTGAAAAGAGACTTTTTCCGAGTATTGACTCGGTACAAGGGCATGGTTTGAGCCACCCTTCAAGTTCAACCGCTTTCTCGTCTTGGCAAATCGACTAATAAAATAGATGCAACTTCATCTATAGCGTGGCCACGCATTTTCATAGTCCGACTTCCACGAGAGGGCCCAGCGATATCTCTCCTATTGAGGAGGTGATAAGTCCCATATTGCATGTCTATTATCTCCATATGATTCGTGAACGTATCTGATCAACGCCGTTATAATCATCCGGTTAAAGACGACGTTTGACGCAGTCAAGATACGCCACTCCTCATATCAGATACTCTAGACATCTCAGGTCTGAGGATCCAAGAACGAACCGCTTTATGAGATTCAAGTCATGACTCTGTCCATGTGACAATCTCATGCGGGTCAACCAGTCACTCGTTCACAACGAGTACCCATGATTGTGTAATGCATCCAATGCATCGATCACACCTCATGCTAGTCTTAATTCATCATTGTTCCCACAATGATAACTGACCAGGGTGTTTAAAATCATTCTATAATGATTCAAGGATACCGAAATATAACAAACATGCCAATCATATAACGGGAATGTAATGCATTCATAAATCAATGAATCAATACAAAGTCAAAATGTCATATCACGGAACATCCAACCAACACGATCTTCAGCTTTTATTTGCTTACCACTTCTCAAAGTAATCGCATTGACATGTTCACGGGGGTTAGTCTCAGGTTTACCTAGAAGAGATCCGGATGTTCTTTGAGAGGCTGATGCTAGCTGAGCGATATGGTTGTCTATGATCTTTAAGTGAGCATCAATGCTTGCGAACTGAGCTCGAAATTCCTGATTTGTCTTTTCCTGATTCTGTATAAACTGTATAAGCAAAGTGTGCATATCAGGGTTGGATTCATTACCTGGAGGTGTGGAATTAATATAGGATTGCCCCGGAACTCTGTAGTTGGATGTCTGATTAGGACCCCTGGATTGAAAAGCAAAACTGGGAGGAATCCTCTGGTTCGAGTCGTCGGATGCTCTGAAGTTGTTCGGCACGGGATTCTCCACATTGTTTGACTTGTAGGAGAGATTGGGATGATTTTTCCACCCTGGATTGTACGTGTTCGAGTAGGAGTTATTGGCCACGTAGTTCACACCTTCGCCTCTCTCATCCAACGCGTACATACCAAGCTCCTCTTGTGTTGCCATCAAATGCTTGGTCCTACAGGGTCGGTTGGAATCTTCGAGCTTAGCATTTAGGACAGCCAATTGTTCAAGAACCATCTGTATGGTCTGATCATTGCATTCCCTTGGCGGATCTCTAGAGTACTCGCTCGGGGCGTCTTCATCTTGGGCCATCATCTCAATATGATTTTCTAGCTCAGCGAATGACTTGTTCTGGATGCTCCCACCACACGAAGCTCGGATCAAAGTCTTGGTATCCATTCTGAGTCCTCGGAAGAAGGTGTTGATCAAGTAGTTCTTATCAAGCCCGTGATGAGGGCAAGACTTCTGATATCCTTTGTACCTCTTCCAAGCTTTATAAAGACTTTCCCCATGATCCTGCTTGAACGAATGAATGCTAGAAAGAGTTGCTTGAGTGCGGTGAGCTGGAAAAATATTTGACATAAACTGCACTTCCAGCTGTTCCCAGGTGTGGATGGAATCGGGTGTCAGATCGTAACACCATTCCAAAGCAGCATCCAAGAGAGTCCAGGGGAAAGCAATCAATCGAAGTGTATTCTCTGTCACCCTGTTATCTCTCTTGATAGAACGACACATCATCTTAAAGCGAGTTAGATGTGCGTTCAGGTCTTTGTTCGGCCTACCCCGGAAAGCATTATTGCCCAACATCTGAGTAGTAGACGGGTTCAGCTCGAAACTAGACATGTCGATGGCCGGTAGTCGAACACCAGCCAAAAGCTCAGTGTGCTTAGGCGTATTGTACTGGGCAAAGGTTGAGTCAGCATTGCCCTCGGCACCATCGGGAAGAGCAAAATCTCGGTCGTTCTCCATTTGTCTTCGTTGACGTCGGATGTATCTAACGGTCCTTTCAAGCTCACGATCAAGAGGTACTAGGTCTGATGTCCCAGCACTCCTGGTCATGCACTAGAAAAACCTGTGCACCAAACGAAAAACAACAACAAACGAAGAAAACATGTGAGATCACCTAAGAAAAAGAAAAAGAAAAAGAAAAAGATCCAGACTAGATAGGATCTAATCCTGTTGCCTAAATTGTCCCCGGCAACGGCGCCAAAAACTTGATGTCGTAAATCTAGGGGCAGAAATATGATCAAGTAATAATATTCCTAGACTCAACAATTAACCGCAAGTGTACGGATCGTGTGTAGTAGCTAGAGTCGAACACAGGGACAAGTAGACAACTTAATCAAATCTAAATCCAAGTCTAAATCCAGATAAAATAATGTGAGTGTGAGAAGGTAACAAAGCAAACGATAAAACAACTGTAAACTATGAATGATGAACACTGCAGGCTTCGGGATTGCTTTACATGCAAGGGTCTTTCAAAAGATGCAACTCAGTGGTTTATCTATCTGATTCAGGGAATTCAAGCTCTAAAGTAGAGATTAACCCTCTCGAGTCTAACCTCACTATCCAGGATTTATCCTACTAATCTCTCGATTCAATAGTCTAAAACCCTGGATGCATGAACGAACGCTATCATAATCCCTAGGCAAATATTCATCTCTCAATGCAATACTTGTTCTATTTATTGAGTTATTTCCAGGTTAGAATCTCATATGTCTATGCGAATTAAAACCCTAAGTTCATTCAATCAAGTGACCAACAAGATCAAACGCATTAAGTTCAACTCAATAAACCGAATAGAATAAATAAATCCACAAAGTCTGGAATTAAAAACCAAAGATCCCTACATAGCAAATCCCTAACCTACAGCAAAGGAACTACTCGCTAAACATCGAGACATCGGGATTCATATCAATACAATAAAACATCGTTAAATAGAAGAAAGAAAGAATACTTAGTCGATTTCCCGGCTTCGTAATCTCCGTCTTCTTCTCCGATCTCTTGCCTCTTGATAATCTCCATCTTCTTGTGTGCTCTAGGGTGTGTTTTCTGTGAAAAGTCTGAATGATTTCGACCTTGGGGGCTAACCCTACTTAATTCTTCTTTTTCTGGGTTAAAATTTGGAATATTTCCAAAATCTGGTAAGTGACCCGATCGTGTGACTGAAAGTGACACGATCGTGTCACTTAACAGTTTTGGCGGGCTTCACAAATTTTCTCATTACTTCCTGCTCCGACATCGGATTTGGGTGATCTTTGCGTCTATGCGTAGATATCGAAGAGAGCTTTCCAATGATATAGAGAATGTATGATTTAGACTTGTAGAGGGAAAGTTATTGGATTTGAAAGATCTGATATGTTTTGAGCTTCACGTTTTCCCCGGAGACACTCCAAATGTTTCCAGTTCGTCCGTGATGTTCCGTATTCCATGTTTTCTACTCCTTTTGCTCTCTTTATGTGTGGATTCCTGTTTAAACACCAAAAAATACAACCATGCAATATCGAAGCCAAATGTGCCCTAGAATGTCTACAAATATGTAAAACCCACACTAGACATCCTATATCAAAACATCACCCAGAGTACGTGTTATCAGTAATCAACCTAACACGTCCTAGACACATCCTAGATCTTTGGAGAAGTTGTCTCTTGAGTTCTAAACCCAGGAATATCGATTCCAAGTCTAGGACGTCGTTTTCTCTTCACAAATCCTAGCAGATACGTTCCAAAGTGTTGGAATTCATCCCACCGGTGTGGATACGTGTAGAGGAGTTGTACTTTCAACTCTTGGTTATTTAAACAGGCCTTGGATCGATTGATACTTCTAGATCTTGATAGAACGAGGTAAGTATTCGAATCCCACGGTGATATACACATTCTTTCGGATTATTGCACAATTGGTTTTGTGTGACGTTTGGTTAGGTTTAGATCTTTTTCTTCCGCTGCATGAAACCTAGAAACCAAACCCTAGATCGATGAGATCGCATGCTAGGAATCCGTAGAAATCCCCAACAGTGGTGTCAGTGCCTGGTTCTCTATATATCGTCGTGCCTGTTACTTGTTTGCATGATTTTAATTGTTAAAGTGCATGTAAACAATAGATCTTTGTTTGTTTGCATGATTTTAATTGTTAGAATGCATGTAAACTATAGATCTTTGCATGTTTTTATGGTTTTAATGGTTAGAATGCATGTAAACATAAGATCTATGCGTGTTTGATGATTTTGATTGTTGAATGATGCATGGATGAGTGAGGGTTCTTGGGAGGTTTGACGGTGCGTCGAAACGGGGATGAAAACCCTAGTTTTCAGGACCCAAAACCGAGATCCGAAGTCTATCCGTCGTGTGGACCGATCAGTCCAGAGAGTAGACCGATCGGTCTACGCGTGACGGCGGTTGTTCCTTTTAGGTAAAATTAGGTCAGACCGACTGGTCCAAGGGTTGGACCGACCGGTCTGGACCTATGACCACAAGAGGATGTCGGATCACGTTCGATAGACCGACCGGTCTGATCTTGGGACCGAGCGGTCCGGGTCTGGTGGAACGTTCGGTCTTCAGGGTCAGTCTGCACTCGATCCGAGAGACTGGACCGATCGGTCCAAAGGTTGGACCGACCGGTCTAGGACTTCGAGACCAGTGATTAGTCCGTTCGGTCCGAATAGGTCCGGACCGATCGGTCCAAAGGTTGGACCGACCGGTCTGGGTCTCGGACCAAGACCGAATAACTCAGAACGGTCTGAACTGGTCAGACTGATCAGTCCACAGTCTGGACTGGTCGGTCTGGACCTCGGACAATCCGGGATTCAAAAATTCAGGTTTTTGATCGAACAATCATTGTGTCGGATCAATTATCAGAATTGGAATCAAAGCCTCACATGAGACCAAGCTCGATGACAATCCAGAATTCAGAGTTTTGATTGTGCAATCGTTGTCTCGAATAAAATATCTGAATTAGGATCTTGAGAGGGTTCGAGTACCGAATCTAAGGCAAACAATTGTTGTTTGGTCAAGGGATTCTGTACATAGACGACTCAATCGAACTAAGAGTAGTTCAACTGAGTTGATCAGAACAACTTGACTGGAATGACTTGAATTCAGTCAAGGTATCCTGGTGTTCAAGTCAAACGAAGCCTCATGTTTAATCTCAAGCTATTACCGCCCATTAGTAGAGCAGCTGTCAAGGCCTTGATCGTCATAGTTACGGGTCATGCCCTAGCTGAGCGTATCTGACTATCTTGGTGAGGCAGTATGGAGAAATCGTGATTCTCATAGCTCAAATATGGTTGAGCTTGAATTGGGTTATCAAGTCGGACTTGGACCTGATGGTAAGGATGGGATGAGGAACATGCAGTGATAGTGTATCACTATCCCATACTCATCTAGGAATCGCATAGGATGTGACTTGACAAACTGTTGTCTACCTAAATAGCATGGTTTTGAGCGTCATGCCCTAGCTGACTCAAAAGCATGTGAAATATGCATCTATTATCTGTGTTAGTATGTGTACTAAGCGACTTGCATATTTTCTGTCTGTTTGTTTGTCCTTTTCTGTAGTAAATATGTATTGCATGAATCTGGTTAATCTCACCATGCGATCTATCCTTATGAAGGATAAGCCTCTGACCACGGCTTCTGGATCGATCATTGATATTTATTGTTGTTGGTTTAGTGCTCTATGATGTACTATTTGCGAGCTTTACTTGGATGTATTTGATGTATTGACGCTTTCTATGATTTATGGATGGGCGTTTGATTCATTACGTATTGTGCATACTTGATATGTTATGAAATCCATGTATTGTTATGAACAATACTAAACTCCCTAGTCATGTATCATTGGGGAATAATGATATACCAAGACTAATATGATGTGTGATGGATGATCATATAGATGATCATAGGCATTGGATACGATCATAGTCATAGGTATTCGTTGGAGAACGGAATACTAGATGACCCGCATGAGATTGTCACATGGACTAGCTTCATGTTGAATCTCATATGGCGGTTCCATGATTGGATCCTGAGACCTGAGATATCTACGGAATCCAACATGAGGAGTTTCGTGCTTTGAATACGTCAAACGTCCTGCGTAACAGGAGGACTATAAAGGCGTGTATCAGGTATGAAACGAATCAAGTGCTGGATTGTAGATAGTCAAGATGGGATTTTTACCTCTCGTAAAAGAGAGAGAGATCGCTGGGCCCCTCGTGTGAGCGAGACTGTAGAAATGTATGGTCGCACTATAGACGAACGTCGTCTATTTCAGACAGTCGAACTCAGTGAACGAGAAAGCAGTCGAATCAGATAAGGTGGGTTGTCCATGCCTTATATTCGACATATGATATCGTGATATAAAAGGATCATCATGTTAGTTTAGTGCTCTATGATGTACTGTTTATGAGCTTTATTTAGATACATTTGATGTATTGATACTTTCCACAGGTATTTTGTTCATTACATGTTCCTGCATGCTAGCTCTGTTATGAAATCCATGTATCATTAGGAATGATACTAAACTACCTAGTCTTGTGTCATTATGGGAATGATGACATAATAAGACTAGTATGATGTGTGATTGATGATCACATAGATGATCATAGGTATTGGATACGATCACAATCATAGGTATTCGTTGGAGAATGGAATACTGGATTGACCCGCATGAGATTGTCACATGGACTAGCGTCATGACTTGAATCTCATATGACGGTTCCATGATTGGATCCTAAGACCTGAGATATCTACGGAATCCAACATGAGGAGTTGCGTGCTTTGAATACGTCTAACGTCCTGCGTAACAGGAGGACTATAAAGGCGTGTATCAGGTACAAAACGAATCATGTGTTGGATTGTAGATAGTCAAGACGGGATTTGTACCTGTCGTAAAAGAGAGAGATATCGCTGGGCCCCTCGTGTGTGCAAGACTGTAGAAATGTGTGGCCGCACTATAGACGAACGTCGTCTAT